TCGAAAACGGCACAGTAGAAGGGTCCAGTAATTGGCTTTGTGTCCCAATGCATTCTACACGATTGGCGAGCCAAATTGGCAAGTCGAGTATAAGGTTTTCCTTTTCTCAAATAGTACGGAGTTTCTGCGTTGTTGTAATACATGTACGGCACTGCACCAGGGGTACTCATGTCATTTTGAATTTGAAAGTAGAGTATGTTGATGTTGGTGGTGTCATTTGAGTAGTGTGCTTCTAAATGGTTAGATGGAAGGTTGGTTGGAGTTTGAGTCCTATTCCTATTGAAAGAATCTGCAAACGCTGGGTTATAGAAACACATCATAAGAAGAAACAATAGGAGTGCATCAATTGATGTAGCCATTTTGTTTGTGATCTTTTCACCGGTTGGTATTGGTTTTTCTACTGGCTCTCACTTAGCAGTTAGCATTCATCATATATATATATATATATATATATATATATATATATATATATATATATAATTTTAACTGTTAAGTTTTGTGTATCTAACGATTAAGATTTATTGAGTCTCACTCATTGATTAATTATCAATTTTCAAAAAATCTTAACAGAAATCAACGGTTAAGATGTGGTGTAAGATTTGTTATTCTTACACTGGTGTAAGTTGATCGTATTCCCATATATATATTTCTCAAGTTACTTGAGATGTATTTATCTCCTATCAGTCCAAAATTATGTCATTTTATTTATATTTATTGATTATCTTTGAATGATTATGGTTTTTTTTCTCTTCCTTTATACAGTTATGATTTAGTGACTGAAGATAAAATCATCTCAAATAACTTGAGAAACAATAAATTCGTATATATATATATATATATATATATATATATATATATATATATATATATGGGTTATATACTTCTTCTGTCACTGCAAGTGGGAAAAAGTGCAGCAACACTTATTTTCATCAGGATACGTGTCCAGATCCTGATGTGTTTTTTTTTTAGGCCAGGAGACGATCTCGTATCTTAGTGTTAATAATTTGCTGCAACTTTTCTCATCAGCAGTGAAAGAAGAAAGGACGAACCATATATATATATATTGGGTCAAAGGTTGTGAGATCAGCACATCAGAAAATACTGTCAAATTGGCACAACATCAAACAGCTGTTGCTGTTTGCTTCGGCTTGGTTTTGAGTCCCTTCTCCTCCTTAAAGGTAGTCAACTGAGAAACATTTCCTTTCTCGCTGTTGTCTCTCTGCTCCATTATAGCTTCAGTTATTCAACTATTTGTCAGTCAAAAAAGGTGATAACCATTACACATTCTTTTTTAATATTCAACTCGACGGTTAAAGACAAGATAGCGCTAAATTGCTGAAAGTGACTAAACGTAAATTTATCATATCATATTTATCAAATTGTCATAGACAACAATAAAGTTGATATTTTTTAAATTTATAATTTTTAAAAAAATACCATATTAATAGAAATTACTTATTAATTATTATTTGACTAAATTAATTCAATTTTGATTTTCAAAATAATAATAATTACATTATTTATGATATAAAATTGGGGACAGACGATTAAAATTATGCATGCCACGTAGCACTCTTGAAATGGAAAACTAGATTGGTGCTGGTAGGTGGCAGTGTGGCACTCTATTGTGGGACTTTGACCAAAGTAACATCTTTTGACTAATATTTTACCAGTATGTCATCTTACATTTTGAATTTTTCAAAATGCCACGTTTCAATCCTGCTATACCAACCAGCGATATTGTCAGATGACACGTGGCGGTCAGCCATGGTGATCCATTCCCGCTGGTATGACAAGCTAGAATGGCTTGTCAATCAACCAGTCTGCACACTTTGAAAAGCAAGACACGTGTCACCCTCCCACCATTCGCGCGGGCCAGCCCAGCTATATTTGTTGTACTTTCTGAAAAGCAGGCCACGTGTCACCCTCTCACTATTCGAGCTAGTCAACCAAGCTAGATTTGTTGTACTTTCAGACACGTGTCATCACCCCCTTAATCGCGCTGGGCTGCCTAGCTGGTTTGGTGCGTACTTTCACGACACGTGTCAGCACCCCCTATAATAAAAAAATTACATTTTTATTCTATAATTTTTTATTAACGCTACTAATAAAAAAATATTAAATATAAATACAAAACCTAATTACAAATTACGATAATTAACAATCCTTAAATAATATTAAATTAATTATTGTAATTAACATTAACAATGTCTCTTATCCTATAATTTCTTTATCAATAAATGCTAATAATCACAACAATATTAAAAAAATACTACCCAAATTACTAATTACAAAAATTTTAAACCGTAAAATTTACTTATTCTTTTTTTTTGGTGTGGAAATTTACTTATTCTACTAATTTATATAATAAAAAATAATTAAATTTTTATCCTATAATTTTTTATTAACAAATGGTACTAATTAATAAAATAATAAATATAAATACAAAACCTAATTACTAATTACGATAATTAACAATCCCTAAATAATATTAAACTAACTATTATAATTAACATTAACAATGTCTCTTATCCTATAATTTATTTATTAATAAATACTAATAATCACAACAATATAAATATAATTATTATATCCTAATTTTTAATTACAAAAATTAACTACCCTAAAATTTACTTATTCTACTAATTTATCTAATAAAAATAATAATTATATGTTTATCCTATACTTTTTTATTAACAAATGCTAATACTAATAACAATATCAAAATTAAATACTAAACTAATTACTAATCCTAATAATTAATTACAATACAAAATTAACTTATACTACTACTTCATCTAATCAAATTATTAATGTCACCTATCCTAGGGTTGTTAAACATTTAACACATGCTGATATTAAAAGAAGGGAAAAGTGTTTGTCATTTTAAATGACAGAAAGCTATGTCATTTTAAGAGAGATACAGATACAGAAAATTTGAATTTTAAATTAAAAAAAATCACCCACTTTCTCTCTCCCATGATTTCTGTTTTTTGTGTGTCTATCTCTCTCTTAAAATGACATAACTTATGTCATTTAAAATGACAAACACCAAACCCTTAAAAGAAATATAAAAAATATAAAAACTTAACTAACCTTGCCACTACAGTTGTGGTTCGTAGAGAGAGAGAGAGAGTGTTTTGAGAGAAAAAAAATTGGAACGTTGAAATTCGGTGGTGGGGTTGGAGAGTGGGATTATATAGAAGTGTATTTGCCTTTTCCCGCTATGTTGACAAGCACGAATAAGGAGAAGCCGCCACGTGTCTGACAGGCATCAACAAGTCAGGAAGTCATACGATTTGTACCAATCTAGCTTCTTTGACTAGTGCGAATGGGGAGCACATGACACGTGGACAAACTTTTCAGAACTTTACAGTGTCTGATTGACAAGCCATTCTAGCTTGTCATACCAGCGGAAATGGATCACCATGGCTGACCGTCACGTGTCATCTGACAATATCGCTGGGTGGTGTAGCGGGATTGAAACGTGGCATTTTGGAAAATTCAAAATGTAGGGTGGCATACCCGTAAAATATTAGTCAAAAGGTGTTACTTTGGTCAAAGTCCCCTCTATTGTCTATTCCTTTTATTATTATTGATGCGCGCAATATATTTCCATGCTATTATAATAGGATAAAAAATATTTCATTTTTAAAAAATATAAAGTTGTGTCATATTAAGTGACAAAAAGATATAGATTAAAATTTTTTTATTTAGAATTTAAATTTAAAAAAAATCTATTTTTTTTTCCATAATTTTCATTGCCTGTATTTTTCTGTCACTTAAAATAACACAACTCTATATTCTTTAAAAATGTAAATATTAAACTCATTATAATATATTTTTTTGTGAGAGGTATACAGAGGCGGTTCACAGGTCATTTCACGACGGTTAAAACCGCCTCCAAATGCGTATTTCGGCTGTTAACCAACCGTCGTTGTTACTACCGTCGAGAGGCAATCCAACGACGGTTTAGCTAAACCGCTGGAATAACCGTCGACTGGAAAAACACGACGGTTCATAAGGCGGTCATCAGAATCCCAAGGCGGTTTATAACCGTCGTGGAATAAGAATACCAAGGCGGTTTGGAACCGACGCGGAATAAGCATTCTAAGGCTGTGCCTAACCGTCGTTGAATAACAATAACAAGGCGGTTGAATTCTGTCTTGGAATAAGAACTCCAAGTCTGTTTGGTAAACCGTCGCGGAATTAGAATTCCAAGGCTGCGAGGAAACCGTCGTGGAATAACAATTCAAAGGCGGTTGCTAACAGTCGTGGAATAACAATTCAAATGCCTAATATTTGTAGTGGTAGATATACGAAGGCGGTTTCTAACCGTCGTGGAATAATAAATAAAATTTAATATATTTTATATTTTATCAATTCTATAATAAAATAATACATTATTTTTTTGGTAAATAATGAAATATTTACTGATACAAAACGTTGTCAAATAAATATATGAATAATTTATTTTCAAGAATTTAAACATTAAATATCATTTAAGCTGATAAATTAAAATTTTAAAATTAACATTTATTTTTTAGATACAATTTGATATATATATATATATATATATATATATATATATATATATATATATATATTTTAGGAATGGCAATATATGTTTAATTACTAAAAATGGCAAATTTGATTAAAAGTCAATCTTTTATAATCCAATATAATAATTATATAAATAAATTAAAAATTCAAGGCTTTTCATCCATAATTAAAGTTAGAACAGTAATCACCATTTGCACTAAATTCTAATAATTTAAAACATCAAATGGAAAATGTAATTGTTGGTTAAAGTAGCATTGTCCTAACACCAAAAAATCACCCTGACATTGTGATATACACCAAAATACAAAAGTTATCCATCCAAAAGTAATCACCAACAGCTATACATCAAAAAGTAATCACCAAAAGCTATCCATCAAAATGTAATCACCCTGATATTGTTCTGGAAAACAAAAAATATATATATATAAAAAGGAGAACTATGGAGGAGATGGGTGTCCTTGAAGTTCAGGTCCTTGGGCATTTGGTACATGACTAGCAGAAGAGGATGGCCTGAATCCATTGGGAGAGCCCAAATTTTGAGGCTGCAAAAAAAAAAAAATAGCTCAAATATAAGTCTCAATCATATTGGGTACTGAAAAATAATTTAAAAGCCTTTACTTAAAAAATTGTTTTTGTCCAATTAATAAGTGTCTCGAAGAACCATAACTACTAAGATTTATACATTATTATACCAACCAAAACTATTATCCAAAGAAAAACTGTTCAACCTTGTACCACATGGAAAATTTGTAATTATCAAATATGTTATATCAGAAAATATGCAGCAGACATATCACAGTGAAACTATAAGCAGACACAAAACTATAACATATCAAATATGTTATACCCTTTTGTGTATCAAAAGGGCGCATAGATAAAGTCACATTCTACCCTTTTTGACCCGTCCACTATTTAAGTCTTCTACATACACAAAAACATACACCCATAGATTAGGCCATTGGTCATGCCTCAAATCTAAATGATAACATTTTAAATGGATCCTCTAATAACATTGAAGTGAACATCGCCTTCACTTTAAGCCTGCAAACAAAACTTCGTGCTCAACATATACGTATATATTATTTTTGTATCCTCAATCAGCATAAAAAACAAAACTTCAATTAATCATAAATATTTTGAACAATAACTTCAATTTAAAAAGCCTTCTAAAAAATAAAGTCTCCACTTTAAAACCTTTCACTTAGATCAAATACAAAATGCCACACATTACTTTCAAGCACGTAATGACACATAACAATCTTATATACTTAACTAGAGATCTACGTTCGTACAGTTTGAATATGAGCAATTGTAGACATGTGATGGAATTCCAACTTTATAGTTTCAATATAACAATATAACAATATATTGAGAGACTAATAATCAAGTTCCTTAAATCCGTTAAATTTGACAAATTATTCTGCCCTTGCAGTCATATTATACAATTTAAAATACATGACTAAAACAAGTTCCAATCATCATCTCAAACAGAAAACATAAGAAAATTTTGGTAAATGTATTATATACCTGTTGCAATCCATTTGATGCAAAACCAGGGGGCATTTGACCCCCAAAGCTACGTACCACAAAAGCCAATGCTTCCTCCAAAGATTGAACTTTAGATTTCAACTCTCTAATTTCATTGTCTCTAGATGTTGAGGAAGATGCCCCAGAACTACAATGACGTTTAAAAATTTGGGAAGGGCAGACCCCAAATCCCATACCCCGTACACGTCCAGGGTGCTCCTTCCCAAACACCTGAACATAAGCATCTTCTTCGGATAAAGTTCCATCATTTTGTGCAGATAATAACAAATCCTACAAAATTTGATCCAACAACCAATTTAAAAACAGTAACATTGTCATATAGGAATACAAGTAAACAACTATATTCCACTTACATTTTTCTCCATAGCCTCTTCATTCACAAATGTACCATCTTTTTTCAGATGTGAATAGCCATACATTTCCGCTCTACTGATAGGCTTACCTTTTTCAATTTCCTAAAACAATAAAATAACCAACAAAAATTATTTACCAAGACTCTGTATGATTCAACCAAGTACTAATAGCAATACAGAGTTGGACAGCAACCAAAAATTAAGAACAAAAAACAATTTACACAATGCCTATCACACAAGATACACCACAAGATGCTCAATCATAACTCCAAAACAAGGCACAAGCAATGCATAAAATTAATTTTTGCAGAACATCAAGAATAGGCCCAAAAATTGGGAACCAGAATTACCAATTGCATCTCTATCAAAAAATAACAAGTTATCTATTAAAGGTATACCATAGAAACTACTACAATTCATCAAATGCAGATTACCATGTTCCTTAACCAAACTTGAGGGTCATCCATCATTTAAACAAACCATACACATAAAGTTCTGTAATCGAAACCAAGTAGAAAAATAATGGATGCAAATCACTGTACTTAATGAGTTATATAACCAAAAAAGGTATTTT